GTGAGAGGGCTGAAGGTGCCAGCCTGCCCAGTGCTGAGGAGGCCCTGGGGGACACACGTGGGTGCAGTGGCTTGTGCCCACCCAAGCCTTAGCCCTGATTTCGCACCTTTGTATATATTTTTCAGTGTTTATTTTTTTTATTTTTTATTTTTTTTTAATATTTTTTATTTATTTTTGGGAGAGAGAGAGACAGCATGAGCAGGGGAGGGTCAGAGAGAGAGGGAGTCACAGACTGAAACAGGCTCCAGGCTCCGAGCTGGCAGTCAGCACAGAGCCCGACGCGGGGCTCGAACCCACGGACCAAGAGATCATGACCCAAGCGAAAGTCGGACGCTTAACCGACTAAGCCACCCAGGCGCCCCTTTCAGTGTTTATTTTTGAGAGAGAGTGCATGTGAGCAGGGGAAGGGCAGGGGGAGGGACAGAATCCGAAGCAGGCTCCACTGTCAGCCCAAAGCCCAACATGGGGCTTGAACCCACGAACCGTGAGATCATGATCTGAGCTGAAATCAAGAGTCAGACACTTAACTGCGTAGCTACCCAGGCTCCCCCTAAACATGATTTTAAAAAAGCAATTTATTTGAATCAGAATCCAAAAAGCCCTTCCACAGTCACAGCTCCGTCTTCTAAGTCTCTTAGTGATGGCTTCCTCTCCATGCTTTTTACTTTGAAAGCAGAAGGTCACTCATCTGTCTCTGTCAGGGCCCTCATGGACTGGGTTTCCCGGTTACATCCATGCAATATTGTTGACACGTGTCGCTTTGATCATGGTATTTACTGTAAATTGGTAGTTCGGTTCAGGCTTGGTTTAGGTGATATTGCATGCTTCCATCAGGAGGCGGGTGGTGTCTGGCCGTCTGTCTTTCCGTGGCCCCAGGAAGCACTGAGGGTCGTTGACTGTGCGACTTCACTGAGGACTGCAGGTGTGACGTTTGGGTCCAGCGTCCTCCCCCCATGCACTAGCTGGATGCTCTGTAAAGAGAAACCTGCCCTGAACGACAGTTTCTAACTACTTGATTCTTTCCCTTTGTTTTCACGGTAATAAGCTGGTTCACACGTGTCTTCCATTGGTGACCAGGTGTTTTTGTTTTGTTTTTCCAATAATTATGCCTGCATGGATTGAGGTACGTTTGAGGTGTTTCATTCAGTGGAGCCGTCGTTCTCATCAGTGCACGTGCTGTCTCACTTTAGGCTGTGACGGCCTCTTCAGGTTGGCCCCTGCGCTACTGGATGTGACCCAGGGGGTCTTTGATAGCTTCTTTGCTCTCGGGTATGACAGGATTCTGGGCCCCACCTGCACACTAACTGACACGTCTCCCAGGGTCCTTGGTCCTTTGAAAGGGAAATGGGGCTTAAATATCACAGCCTGGATATGAGGGCAGCTTACTTTTAATTGGACAGAATTGGAAAGTCTTCATTTCATTTTAAAATATTGTGAGCGATACTTCATAGTGATATTTCAGATGCAAATTCAGGATTTTTGAGATGTTTGCGTAATACTTTCACTCTGATATCTTTTTCACCTTTGTCAGTCACATGAGGGTGCCTGTCCTGAACACTTCAGATGTGGCCATTGTAATATTCCTTATTACTTGGTATTGGTGCTGAAAAGTTAATGATAATCAAATTTTCTTTTTTAGCCACTTGAATTTTGCATAGCTATTCAGAGAATTTTCTTTCCTTTAAAGTCCAAGAAATTCACCAGAGTAAATCCCAATTGGATACTTAGTACCCAATATACTCTTTCAGTATGTAGTTAAAATTATTGTTATTTAAAAAGAACTTTTTGGGGCGCCTGGGTGGTTCAGTTGGTTAAGCGTCCAACTTCGGCTCCGGTCATGATCTCACAGTTCGTGGGTTCAAGCCCCACGTCAGGCTCGGTGCTGACAGCTCAGAGAAATAAGCCCAGTGCCCCAATCAAGGGGGTACGTGGAGACTCGGAGCACAGTGCCCACTGCCCGAGTCATGGGGGAGGCGGAGGTTCGGAGCACAGTGCCCACTGCCCGAGTCATGGGGGAGGCGGAGGTTCGGAGCACAGTGAAGGGAGGCTTTAGTCACTGTTCCCACCAGAGCTGGTATCAGGCGGTTACATCAGTTTTTTTTTTTTTTTTTTTTTTTTTAATTTCTAGGAGAGAGAGAGAGACAGTGTGAGCAGGGGAGGGTCAGAGAGAGAGGGAGTCACAGACTGAAACAGGCTCCAGGCTCCGAGCTGGCAGTCGGCACAGAGCCCGACGCGGGGCTCGAACCCACGAACCGTGAGATCATGACCTAAGTGAAAGTCGGACGCTTAACCGACTAAGCCACCCAGGCGCTCCATATCAGTTTATCTTCTATCAGGTCAGTCCTTCCCCTGGTCCCTCATTGGCTGATACTACAGAGGTCACAGGCTTATGCGGACGTCACCAAAAGGTAGTCTAAATGGAACAAATGTACATTCCTTGAGGTGACAGGCTTCAGTTCTTTGGCGCATGCTCATTGCACAGCTGCAAACGGGCGGGGAAAAGAGCCAGGAAGTGAGATGTGGAAAGGTTTGGGACTTCATTATCCAGGGAGGGTGGGTGGGTTCATACATATTTCCAATAGGTTGTTAACCTACTGTTAACTGGGCAGCACAGCTTTTATTTGGTATTTCTGAAAATGAATCATCTCACTTTTCACTAACATAGTAAATTGTCTTTGTTTTCAATATTTGTCACTTTCTCTTGAATCCTTTTTATCTCTTTATTCATTTATTTTTTAAAATTTTGTTGATGTATAATTTATGTGCTATAAACTTCCCCCCTTGTAAGTCTACAATTGAGGGGATTTGATTAAGTTTATTGGATCGTGCAGCCACCACAGCCTACTTGCTCAGCGTGTCTATACCCCCAGAAGGCCCCTCATGCTGTCCTAGCCGGTCTCTGCTGCCCGCACAGTTCCGGGCAGCCACAGATCTGCTTTTTCTCTCAGTAGAGTTGTCTTTTCTGAAAGTGCTCTGTGAATGAAAGAATATAATTGTGGTCTCTTGTGTGTGGCTTTTTTATTTGGCAGAATGTTTTTGTGATTCCATCCATGTTGTGTGTGTCACTGTTTCGTTACTTTTTAGGGCCGAATAGTGGTCCACTGTACGGCGAGGCCAGCCCGGGTTTACCCGTTCCTCCGTGGTGGGCCGTTGGGTTCCTTCTCTTACCGGCAGGAGTGATGTCGCTTGCGTGAACATGTGCGCGCACCTCTGTGTGTCCGTGTGGGGTTTTCCTCTCTCTGGGGAGCACCCCTGAGAGCGGACTTGCTGTGTTGTGTGCGGTACTTACAGTGGTTTTCCCCACTGGTCAGACCAGCGTCCCTTCCTCCTGGCAGTGTGTGACCCTCCTGGCGGTGTGTGTCATTCCAGCTTCCCCGCACCCACCCCAGTGCTTGTCCTTGCGGGGGTTTTTGAATACAGTCATTCTAGCAAGTAAGGTCTCGGTTTTAATTTGCATTTCCTTGGGGACTCACAGTCTTGAGCATCTTTTCATGTGCTTATCAGCTGTTTGTCTTTTTTTTTTTTTTTTAATTTTTTTTTTTAATGTTTTTTTT